CGCGGTACTGCGAGGGACTGTGCGGGTCGTACTCGATCTGCTGCTTCAGTTTTTCCGGACGGGTCAGGCTGCACCAGGTCTGGAAAAGAAAAATTTTTAAGTTTAGAAAGTAAAAAACTAATCAAAAGGATCGCTTACATTAGCATAGGAGAGAAAGAAGAGCTGGTCCGAGGTGAACTTGGGAAGGTCTGCCAGCGTAGGCGACGCCCCCGAAGCAGTTTCTCGGGCCTTGTAGGCGTTAAACGATTCATGGGTTCCTCCATTGTCGGCAATGTTTTTTCCCAGTGTGTTTTGGCCGTTGAGCTAGGAGAAAAATAAGAGAAAATGAACTTCTGTTAAGTAAACTCCCACGTATACTCACATGCAGTCCAGTGCTCTTTTCCACCTGACGGCCGTACTCCTCCACAAAGCACTTGCTGCGCTCACTGAAAGCCTTGATGGCGGCCGGGGTCCACCAGTTCTTCAGATTGCCCACCTCGTCGTACTGCCGTTTTTGGTCGTCCAGGCCGTGGGTGAATTCGTGGCCAATGACCACGCCGATAGAGCCGTGGTTGGTGGCAAAGGGGCGGGCGGCGTCAAAGAATGGCGCCTTGAGGATGCCGGCGGGAATGGCTGAAAAATGACAACAATTGTACAAAAATTTTAATAAAACATTTTCAAGGACTTACTGATGGAGTTCTGCTCCGGCTCGTAGGCGGCGTTGATAATCTATAATAAAAAAACAATTAAATCAAAAGTAGTTAAAAAATGTGTTCAGCTTACGGAAAGAATGAGTCAAAAAACTAGTTACCATTTTTAGGCAGTGTAGCAAAAATAGTCTTTGCGACTTTGACTAAATCGAGCTCATGCTCAATTTCGTCAATGTGTTTCTCCAAAATTTTATCACGGTTGGATTCGAAAAAAAAGTTAAACTCTTCGTTATCGTCATCTGTTTCCGAAAAACTTCGTTTTTTGCTTTTAGTCTAAAAATTAAAAAATTTTTTTGAAAATTATTTCAAAATTTTAAACTAAACTTTTTGTTACCTTTTTGTCAGAATTTTTTTTTGACAACAGTGGCATTCTGAAACATGAGATGTTTTTTATTTTTAGCTTTAGACAATGCCAGCCTATAAATAAAAATAAAAAAGATTGATCACTTTTTCAAACATGTGCACATTTTACACTATTAAACATTGTAGATTGGTGTACAGTGTTCCCAGTCATAAAACTTTTAAAACTTACGTTACTTTAGTTTTGGGATTTGCCAATAAACGAGAAACTCCCGTCATTGAAAATCCAATGAAAACCTTGTAGAGTCAGTATGCTCCTACTTTGCGTTGTTCTTCAATTGTTAGTTTGGCTGTTGACTTAAAAATTCCTGTTTCCAAGTTTGTCAAATTGTTCAAGCTCAAAGTTGTAATTAAAATTGACGATCTGTTGATGCTTCAGTTTCAGAAAGGCCGTGAAAAATTTGAAACATTGATGACAGTTTGCCAGACTGTTCAATTTCCAAAATTTTCTTTTTTTTGCGTTTTTCTAAAATGATCAATTACAGTAAATACAACTTTTTAATATTTAGCAACTTACCGACAAAACCAAATTGCGAGTCGCTTTTTTAACTCAAAAAAACTTGGTTTTCAGTTCCTTTGTTGCAGTAAAATATCGACGACACAAAAAGTTTGAACTTTTCAGAGTCGATTTTTGGAAACTCTGGTATCATTCCGATCAGGTCGTCAGCGATATTTGTGTCTAGCAGAAGGTACACAAATGAACAAAGTTCATCTTTGTCTTTGACTTTGCCTTTGTTGTCACTGAGAATTGTTTCAATAAGTCGGGCTTTCTCCTAGTCGAATTGTCCAGTGCCAATCTCCTGAATTTTTTTACAGTAGAATAATTTTTTTAGTTTAACTTCAGATGACGAAAAACTTGTAGAAGTGGTTGCTGGTAGAGTGTCGCTTATGTCATCATTTTCATCAAATGAAGTGCCTTGAGGAGAACCCAATTTCAATTTGGCAATAATAAACTCCTTCATCTTAGAGTCGATGTTTTCCAGTTAAACAAACTTGCAAATGTTGATGTTGTAGTGAACGTGAGCTACATGCTTAAGAAAAAAATTTTTGTTTGCAATTTTAAAACAACAGTCCTTCTCTTGACAAACAAATTTCTTTTCACCGTGCACTATTTGTTTGTGCTCGTTGATAGGTCGCACCAATTTTCCACATTCATCACATTCAATTGCTTTGCTTAAGTCTTGAGTTTGCTCAATTCGAACTGCATGTGTGAAAATTTCATTTTCAAACTTGATCATTTCTTCGTTTTCTTGAATAAACTTGTCATGATCTTTACTTTTAATTTTGTGGACTTTGCAAAGATGAGCTTTTGCGTTTAGACGGCTTCCAAATTGTACTTTTTTCAGGCATTTGCACACGCATTTGTATGGTTCCACGTTTTGAAATGGGTGCGGTAGTGTGTCTTTATGTTGTTAAAGTTTCGATGACTAAATTTGCAGTTGGTAACAGGACAGTTCCAATCGCCATCTGAAAGACAAACAATTTTCTCAATCCCTTTAATCTAAATAAAAATTATCAGCCAATTTTAAAAATAGTTTGAAAATACAACTAAAACTCACGTTGACATAGGAGTATTTTTGACTTGACTTGACTTGACTTGGGTTGATTTGACTTGGGTTGACATAGGGCGAGTTGTGCCATTCAATGAAAAATAAATAAAAGTCTTATACAACCAATAAGCTCCTAATTGAAAGCGATCGTTTAACGACAGGGTAACAGGTGAATTGTAATGATTGTTTTGGATATTGGTCAAGTTGCCAAGTCTCAGCGTTTCTATGAGGATGGATTTTTGGGTTTCCGCCTCAGTGTCCAAAAAACCATAAAAAAGCTGGCACACAGCAGCCTTTTGACCAGTTTTTTCAATGTCTACAATTTCTTTTTGTCACTATCCTAAAATAACACACAATTTATGTAAATTAAATCATTTTAAAACACAAAAAACTTACCGGAAACTTGAATTTTTTATGACAAAACGAGCGGCCTCTTTTGCCTTTTCCGCAATAAAAAATAGCCAAAATAAAAATGATGAATTTTTTCAAATCAATCATTCCTGATTCTGGTGAAACTTTAAACAAATCATGAAGACGCTTAGGGTCTAGCAGAAAGTAGACATAAGATTGCATTCCATCTTCATCTTTGATTTGGCCTTTGTTGTCATTGAGAACTGTTTCGAGAAGTTTGGTTTGCTCTCAGTCAAACTCTCAGTTGACAATGTCTTGAATTGCTTTGCAATATGAAGATACGTCAAAGTCAGACATTATAGCGCAAAAATAGTTGATAATGAATTGGAAAAAGAATGCAGACAAAGTTTAAACTTGCTGTTTTCTTTTAATTGTTGCTAGTTACAGTTACTGTAGCGGCACAATGTACATGTCAATATCAGTTTTGATTAACTGAGGTAAACGCTAGTAACTTTTTGGCAAATGCCAGGAGGGCGCTAAAAGCAAGCCCAGCTGACAAAAACATGATTAGAAAAACAGTTGACATTCGCTTATGAAAAAAACATCGAAAGTGAAAAAATTTCTGGGTAGTAATGGGTGCTAATCTTTGTCTTTGTCCATTGGTCATTCTAGTACACTTTTGTTTTCTGGTTTCGTTTAAATTAATTTTATTGAAATAATATGGATATAATATAAATATCGATAGGAAAGTTATTTAGTGTGGCACTAAACGATGCAGCCACCAAAAGAAAAATATGGCCTGAACATTTTGTTGTGAATAAGTGAATTGTGTCACTAATGTTGTGAAGGGCATGAACTGCTCAAGCACTGTGAAAGATGTAGCTTGTCACTTCAGTTGTGAAGAGTAAGCACCATCTTCTGTGTTGAGAGCGGTAAAGACTCAATACCTTTGTTGTGAAAAGAACACGACTTCACAAATGACGTAAATATTAACTCTCGCCTCTTGCTTGGTAACTGATGTTGTGAAGAAGCTGTGAAGTAGCATTACTGATAGGCTTGAGTTTGAAGAGAGTTCTGTACGCTTGTAAGAAGTAGTCAATGTAGGTGTAGAACATAAAGTACTTGTGTTCATTGTACAACACTCAAAGTAGGGAACGATTTGTAAAACAGTGTTAGGACTCACACCAATATTTAAGACCCTCTACCTTTGTACACACAAACTTTTGTACACCTTTGAGTCATGCTTTGACACATGCTTTTTCGGTTTGCACCGAAAACGACCAAGACACAACTCGTCAAGAAAAGATAATTGCCTGTCAGAGAAAAGCTTCCAGAAGCTTCCACCTTCACAAACCTATGCTAAACCTGGAACTGGAGACACACTGAAAGGTAGACACCCGCTCCCCTCCTATGGGTATATAAAAAGATGCCTGCCAGTGCCGTTTTCAGTGGGCCCCTCATTTGGTGATGAAGAAACTCTCACCATCTTACCAGATTGCTGATCCTCAAGACTCATGCTGAATTCCTGTGCTGACCTTCAATGCTGAACACCTATGCTGAACATCAATGCTGTCTAACTGTGCAGACGACAACTGCTGACTACCACCACCCACTGTGGTAGTAGTACCGCTCCTCACCTCACCTCTACGGCATTTCTGCCTGCTACTTCTACCATCCTTCACTTACTCCTATTGCTCCAATATTCTCCATACCTACTATCACCTTTAACCTTTGACCTCNTTTTAACTTGTGTCACCACCTTCTCATCTCTCTCTAATAAACCATAATTACTTTAATTCAGTGTGGTGATCGAGTTACTCACATCGTATGTTTTTTACCTCTGATTAGTGAACACTAAAGGATAGGTAATCGACATCACGATCGATATAAATATTTGTTTTTGTGTGTAAATGCAAGTTTACAATTGAAAGAAGGAAATCATAAAAAGAGAGGGGAAATACTTGGAATACAAAGCAGGAAGGATAGATTTTGAAACTAAAAAATAAAAAGTGCCTACCAGAGAAGACACTTTCCGGAGGGGTTCATCGGCGAACCGGCCGGGCAGCTGAAGGCTCGGGCAAAGTCTGCCGAATTGGAAAGCGGGACATTGACGCGGTACTGCGAGGGACTGTGCGGGTCGTACTCTATCTGCTGCTTCAGCTTCTCCGGACGGGTCAGGCTGCACCAGGTCTGAAGAAAACGGGACAAGGAAGTTAAGTTTAAAAAATAAAGCTTCAAAAAATCATTGCTTACATTAGCATAGGAGAGAAAGAAGAGCTGGTCCGAGGTGAACTTGGGAAGGTCGGCCAGCGTGGGCGACGCCCCCGAGGCCGCTTCTCGGGCCTTGTAGGCGTTAAACGATTCATGGGTTCCTCCATTGTCGGCAATGTTCTCTCCCAGTGTGTTTTGGCCGTTCAGCTAGTAGAAAAATAAAAATAAAGTCAAACTTCACAAACTCTTGCAAACTCCCAACTGTTCACTTACATGCAGTCCGGTAATCTTCTCCACCTGGCGGCCGTACTCCTCTACAAAGCACTTGCTGCGCTCACTGAAGGCCTTGATGGCCGCCGGGGTCCACCAGTTCTTCAGATTGCCCACCTCGTCGTATTGACGGCCTTGATCGTCCAGGCCGTGGGTGAACTCGTGGCCAATGACCACGCCGATGGAGCCGTGATTGATGGCAAAGGGGCGAGCGGCGTCAAAGAATGGCGCCTTGAGGATGCCGGCGGGAATGGCTAAAAAATGAAAACAATTTAAAAACAATTAAAAAAATTTTCATAAAACACTTTCAAAGACTTACTGATGGAGTTTTGCTCCGGTTCGTAGGCGGCGTTGATAATCTGCAATGGAAGTGGACAAATTAGTTCAACTAATCGTTAATAAAAATCACTAAAAGCTGACCGCGGGAGGCATGGGCCAATGCTTGTTGATGTCAATTGGCTGGAGGAAGTACACCAAATCCCGCTTCAACTGCTGCCGATCAAAGGTGATCAGCGTCTTGAGGTAGTTCTTCTCCTGAAGCAACTTGGTCACCTCCGTCTTGTTCTGAAGAAAGTAAAACTCATCCAGCTGGGCGTCATCGAGGAGCCAAGCGGGGTAGGCGACGTTCTTGTGGACGTGGTTCAGCTTACTGAGCGACGCCTTCCGCGTCGCCTCGTCGAGCCAGGTATTCTTGGTGATCAGCCGGCGGAAGGAGTCCTGGATCGAGTCGATCATCTTTGCCGCTTCCGTCTTCTCCGCCTCGGTAAAGTGGTGATCAACAAAGAGGCGACTGAGGGCAAATGGCACGCGATCGTTAGCAAGAGACTGACAGGTCTCCGTTCGGTTGGCCATCTTCTTCACGCCCTGGGTCGTCTGGTGAAAGGTAAAGAGAAGGCGGCGAAAGGATTCGGAAGAGTAGGGGCCCAGGGCGGAAACAATGCGCCAGCCAACGTAGTTGGCCAGCGTACGGTCGGGCGACTTGAGCGAAGAGATAATGGACACTGCCTTGATGGTGAAGTTCACGTCGGAGACGATCAGCTGGTCGGTGGGCTGGGCGGTGGGCGTGTAGCCGAGGGCCTTCACGGCGGGAATCAGAATGTGGGCGAGAAAGTCAAATTTAGAACGATCGGCAAGCTGTTTGAAGGTCAGCAGGTTGTAGAGCGTTTCCGGGTCGCGTTGGTCCTCGACAGAGAGCTTTGAGCTGGCGAGGGCTGACTCGAGGTGAATGATATCATCAATGTCCTCTTCAAGGGTGGGGCAGTTTGCGCCACAGAAGAGCTTCGCCGCGGAGCGAATGTACGCCTTGTAGGCGGTAATCTCCTTGGCGTTGGCAGTTAGGTTCTGGAGTTCCTTGTCGCCGAGGCCCTGGGCGGCGGGGTCGAGCTGGGTTGGAAAAAAAGAGGAGCGGTTGATAAGTTTTGATGAGATTTAATAAGATTCTAGACGAAATACTTACCACCACCTTGTTCACCGTCACGTTCTTCGGGTCGGGCTGAATGGAGAACTGGAAGACGGCGCTGATGCCCGCGACAAAGGCCTTGACGATATTCTCCGCCCAGGACTTGTCCTTCTCCGCTCGCTGGCCCTGGCCGATGGGCCAGACGCCGATCACCTCTTTGACCACGTCCTTCAGGTCGGCGAGGGCCACCGCGTCCTCCTGGTCGATGCCGAGGGCGTTGCAGCGTTGGTAGAGGTAGGCGCCATAAGCGACTGAACCAGAGGACTTTACATGGGAGTGGCCGTGACCGGAAACGTTGAAGGCCTCGAGGAGGGCGTCAATCTGTGCGGTCATCTGGTCGTTGAGGGCGTCGAAGGTGCCGGTGCGGGACTTCCAGTCAGGAATGTGGTGACGGGACTGCCATCCGCCGCAGGCGAAGGCAAAGAAGTCCGTACACGGGTTGGCGGTGGCGTTCATGGCGTCGGCGATGTACGCGGCCGCCGATTTGCAAGCAGGCGTAGAGCAGGGAGTGGGCGGGGCGGCTGATAAAAAAGAAGGAGTTTAGAATTGAAGTTTTTTGAAAAATCAAATTAAGCAAAGACTTATATTACCTAGGCAGAAGGTGGTAAGACCGAGGAGTAGCAGTAGAACTCCCAACAGTTGATGGTTGGCCATCTTGAGGTAGTTGGTGGTGGTGGTGATCAGAAGGTTTTTCTTGGAATATTCGAGGGGTGAAAGTGAAAAGAAGAGGTGAACTTGCTGGAGGAAAAAATTGGAAAGCCGGAGAGCAGAAAAACAGACTAAGCACAAAGCAGCTGAAGTGCCTTTTATTGAGGGCGAGTGTTGGCTTTCTGATGATGATGAGGATGATGATGATGATGATGATGATAAAAGGGCGAGCTTATCAGCAGCAGCAACAACAGCCACTAAAGTTTGAAGAGCGGTGGTGATCGCCGATGATCTGGCAGACGCCAGCCTGTCCACTTCTTTTGTTTGGATTGAGAAGCCTCTATCAAAATGACTCGGCTCGTTTAAACTTGAGCACCGGCTGATAAAGACTATCAAATTGACTCACTTGACACAGGACGAGCACAATGCGGCAGACACATAGTCTCACAGCTCAGTTTACTTTGCTGATGGGATGAACGCTGCTGCTGCTGATAAAGTCTCCACTGTCTCAACTGTTGAGTGTAACTTAATGTACGAAAAAGAGTGAGTGGACAAGTTTGGTCAAGTTCAGGTCAAGTTTAGCGCCCAAAAAAATCTTTTAGGTGCTTTTAATAGCTTTTTGTGCAGTATTAGGTAAACTGAAAAAATGCTATCTGACTAATTGAAACTAATTAAAACAAAGTTTTTTTTGCTAATGAGCTGAAACCGTTTTTGATTAATCATTTTGTCCTCTTTTTATGTTTAGGTTGCTGAGCACTGAGATTGATGGCACACATGACCGACAAGTGTAAACAATCGTACTAAAGTTCTACGTGATTGATTTGATTTTTACAACTGAAAAAAATTTTTTGTATATGCAAACTCGTCGACTGTCAAACCATCACAAGTAAATGTTACGAAATACAAAAGTCTAAAGTAGTCATCAACAATAATTAAGCATCAATCACCATCATCATCATTACAATTATCATTTATCAGCTTTTATCAACAACACTTAATTGGCACACAAAGCTTGACGGCGGCGGTGGTGGTGGTGGTATTGCACTGCGGAATCAATCAAGAGCTTATCAAAGAAGGTACAAACGGTGACAGTAACTAAAAGTGGGCGCCCAAAAAGAACCTTTGACCGATGATCAGCACTTGAAGTAAGTAGACTTTG